GCCCTGGGCTCAGACAGAGCAGGAATGGCATCTAGACTCTTCCCCATGCAAGCGATGTGGCCCTGGGCGAGTGTGGCACTTCTGCAAGCCTCAGTTGCTTCATCCATAAAGTGGAGGAATATGATCAACCCCGGGTGCAGTCTGAGGATCAAGGGGATGTGGGCGAGTGGGCAGCAGGGTGCGCCCCACCTCTAAGTGTGCGAAGGTTAGCCAGTAGGAGTTGAAAGAACTCCCCTGGCTTTCAGCAGATGGGAACATTTCTGTGTTTCCTAAGTCGGTCTCGTCTGTATTTCACAATCCAAATTCAGTCTAGTAAGTCTACTTTCTTAGGCTACTGGCCGAGTCAGGGCCGTATTTAAACAATTAGCCTTGGGAACGGGATACATGGATCTGCTCATCAGCCTGCCTTCGGCGCAGCCTTCTTCCTCTGCTCCTCTTGGGTTCTCCCAGACCTAGCTCTGAACACACACAGACGTCCGTGCACATCTGCCCTTTCTTTCAGAGCAGTACTGCTGAGTAGAACGTTCTGCAATAATGAAAATGTTCTATCTAGAATCTACATCCTCCAGTCTGGCAGCCGCTCGCCATCTGGAGCTCGCCGAGCACGGGAATGTCAACAGTGCCACGAAGAACCAAAGTGGAATTTTTCTTTCATTGTAATTCAGTGTAAACTGCCACATGGGGCTAGTGGCTACCTTCTCAGTGCAGTGTCGGAGTAAAGATTCTTCTTTTCCTTTTCAGCCGAAGAGCCTCCGCTGCCATTCCTAATGTAGGGTGCATGCCTCTGCAACCAAGGGCCGGGATGGGTGTGTTGAACTTACGTTTCATGGTTTGGATAAAGGCTCCTGCAGCTTGACTTTTAAAAATGCAGCCTTGTTTGCACGTGTGCGTGTATGTTTAAGAGGGAGGGGAACCACGTTATCTCACGTTGCAAAAACAGGGGGGAAGCTGCTGGCCGGCTGGAAACTTCAGAGCAGTTGCTCAGATTACCCGGAGCTCTTCTAGTGAAAACAAACCAAACCAAACCACCCCACCGTGGCTGTCACCACTGTTAGCTCTTCATGAGCACCACTCACCACAGGCTCATCAGAGATTCAAACACACGGGGCCGCTGCCTGCTGTGAGCGCCCTGAGCAGAATGGCGTGAGCAGGGGTCCAGGGAGCACCGTGATGTCCTGCACAAAGTCTCTCAGGAGGTCTCCTGGGTCCCTTGGACCACTTCCCCTCATTGTAATAATACATCTTAATAATTTTCACGTCCTTTTATTTCTAGGCTCAAACCAGAGGAACACAGAAGAGAAACCAACACATGAGAGACAGACAGAGAGAGGGAGTTGTTTGAAAACGTTGCTTTGAGCCAAGTCTGCAGAGCCAAGACTCCACCAGGCACATATTTATTTTAAACACTGTTATTTGGTTTACGTTTTCTTGTGGTTCCGACAATGACCTTGCAGCTGCTTCAAAGCCGGGAGAGCGCCCACAAAGGTGTCTTTAGCCGCCTTTAAATCCCACTTGTCATACAGGTTCCAGGTTGACTTGGCCAATTAATAGGTGGGGCCGGCCCTTCAGGCAACCATCCATCAGCTGTCAGGGCGGAGCCTACGAGCTCTAAGCCCCGCCCCCTAGGCCCCGCCCCCGACTTTCCTCCTCTTACCTGCAGGTCTCAAACCCGATACTCAGGGCTTTCTCCATCTGGGCCATGGTGGGCAAGGTGCTGTTGAAAGCCTTGCAGAGGTCAGCGGCCTCTGTCCTGGAGATGCTGTAGCGACCATTTTTCTCCACGTGGAACACACCTCCGTATCGGCAGGTTATATTCAAATCTGTGGGATGAAACAGAAATGGTAGATGCTTTTGCATAACTTATTGGGAAGGGTAAGAAGTCTGTTTGAGGGTAGATTCATTAAAAACAAAACAAAACAAAACTTCTCCACTGGCCAGAGGCTTCAACATTCAGTCCAGCATTCCAAAGCACCACACATTAAGCTCAGCTCAGAGCTAAGACACAGTAAAGGAGCATAACTCTAGTATTGTCTCCATCGATCGCTCTACAAACAAGCTTTTTTTTTTTTAAGATTTTATTTATTTATTTGACAGAGAGAGTGAGAGAGAGAGCACAAGCAGGGGGAGCTGCAGCCAGAGGGAGAGGGAGAAGCAGGCTTCCCGCTGAGCAGGGAGCCTGATATGGGACTCGATCCCAGGACCCCAGGATCATGACCTGAGCCAAAGGCAGACGCTTAACCGACTGAGCCGCCCAGGCACCCTTACAAATGAGTTTTTAAAAAGCATATGACCTATTTCTGGCTATTAAAGTAATACAACTTGTAGAAAACCGACAAAATTCAGGGAAATAACGAAGGAAAAGCTAGGTCACCACTACTGCCAACGCTTTAAACATTTTGTATCTTCTTCCAATTTTCTGAATCTGTGTGTGTGTGTGTGTGTGTGTATACTTATGTACTTACATAGTTAAAGCAGGACTAAATATACAGTTTTAGATTTGGGCGTCCTTTTTTCCCACTTAATCTTATACCATGAGCATTTTCCCACAATCAAGTGGTGTTACTTGTAACCTCTAATGGCTTCTGGCTGCACCCGGAATAAACATCCTCTTCATGGCTGACAAGACCTACAGGAGGAGCTGGCTTCTATCTCCCTCTTGAAACTTTAGCAGCTCCCTCTGCTCCAGGCATAAAACTTGCCTTCAGTTCCTTTGGCTATTCTGAGTTCTTGGCCACCTTAGAACACATATCTGCCGTGCCCTCTGTCTGGAATGTTCTGTCTTCAGATCATTGCATTTTGTGTTTTGGCTGCACATCACCCCCTCTTAGAGGCCTTTCCTGAGCACTGTTTTCCAACCCACATGTCTCCCTCGCTCACCCTGCTTTGGTGTCTCCACAGCAACCTGTTTATTTATTTGTGTATTTAATTATTATCCATCCGCCCTTCCTGTGATAGAAGCTCCAAGAAAAGCAAGGACGTTTTACCTGTGTATTGTGTTTCTCTAATTCTCACAAGAGTGTGACAGAGAGTAGATGCTCAACCAGTATTTACTGAATGAATAAATAGCTCCTTAAAATTTCTTACAAAGCACACCTTCAACATATTGACAGATAGAGCCAAGACCAGTTGTTGGCTCCCAAGAGTTAATGGCATTCAAAATGAAGCCTAATGGCTATCAACCGGTTAAAGGATGATTTAATCCAAGGGCTCCTGTGAATTTTGCAGACATTAATCTAAAATCTCAATAAGGAGCTGAAGAATTATCCACCCGATCCTGTGAAACCATTTCACAAGGCTTCTAAACCCTTAACAGAAAACTCCTTATTTTTCGGGACTGTATTATCATCCCCAGTTCGCACTCAGCGAACGCCAACATGGAAAGGTGTGACATCATTGAACCATCCCGGTTGAGTGTGATTCCTCCTGAGCATGTCCTAGAGCCTCAAGCACAGTCCTTGGCCAAGGAAAAGGCTCACTGACATTTCCTCTGGGCCTACCACAGGGTGGCCTGCGTGCCAGGCCAGGCGCCATGTTGTTAGTTAGAAGCCAGCTCTGGATTCAGACAGAACTGGCTTGAACTCAGACTCCATCCCTCCCTTGGGCAGGTCCAGGGGGAGTCAGAAGATCCTGCTTATGTATCAGTGAGAAAACTGAGGCTCAGAGAAATGAGTTGCCCCAGGAAGTCAGCACTTCTATGTAGAGCCTGTAGTTGACTTCCTGACTCTCAGTTGCTTTGTTCTTCAGCTCTGAGCTGAGAGCCGGAGGAGGGGAGGCCTGTTACTGCAGTTTCCCTGGGTCCCCAGCACCTCTGGCGTTCTGTGTTACATCATCTTCCACGAACGCTGACAGGTGAGTTGTATGCAAGTGTGTATGTATTATTTATAGGTAAAGAAACTGAAGCTCAGAAAAATTAAGCAACTTCCCCAAGTCAGCCAGTGGCAGAGCTGGAACCCCCATCTCGGGTCCGGGTAGCACCAAAACCCACCCTCCAAACCGCTTTGCTGTGTACCTAGGATCCTTCCATGTCATTAGTGTGAGCGTCACCTCTAAAGGGGAGAGGTGCTCCTAGACAACGGCCACATAAGGACGAAGGCAGGGTCGGTATTGCTGAGCTCGATGGACAACAACTGCTTTCTCCCTTCGGAGCAGGAAGCAGGTTCTAACCACCAGGAAACGGTGTCTGATGATTTGCAAAATAAGATGATGAGAGAACGGTGAAACTTCTGTATGATCTTCCTTGACTCTGAAAACACTAAAGCAGCAGCAAGAAATGGAGCTTCGAGAAGACAGAAGCCCACATCGGTTGCTTCTCTCTTTTTGTATCATTAGCACGTAGGTGCTTTTTGAACGCATCCGAACTGCGTGGCCTGGAGAGCACATGCGATTCATTCCTTTGGGGGCCTTCGGGTGTCCTTCTTCAGCCGCTCACACAAGTCTTGGCTGATGAGGCAGGAGGACAGCGAGGAGGGAAATGCACAAGGCCCTTTGGAAATATTGTTCGTTGTCACTGACATTTTCAGCTTTGGCCTCTGTCAGCCGGTCTTCACGCGGGGAAAGCTGTCAGGCGGCGGGGACAGCCCTTCCGGCGGCTTTCCTCCCCAGGCCTACAAAAGGAAAACACAGCCTCGCAATCAGCTTCTCGGAGGGGAGGCTGCTCGGGGGAGGCGGCAGCAGACGCCGGGAGAGGGGCCAACGGCCTGCCGCTGCGCGGCCGGAGGGCCGCTGTCCCTCCCGGGTTTAAAAATAAAGCCTGAGGCCTAGACGGTGGTTTGGAGCTGAACAGCAGTTTCTGTCGTATGAAAATTCATTCTCCTTTACCACCTGGCCCCCAGCACATGCAAATGCAAAAGGAACCGAGGCTTTTGAACAAAATGCCCTGAGTTGCACAGCTGCAGGCCGCGGGACTTCGGAGAGCAAAGGCGCACGCGCAGTGTGAGGGGCCCCGCCCGCGTGCGCGGTGCGCGCCCGCGTGCGCGCCCGCAGCGAGCGCGGCCGGCCGTGTGCGCGCCTGCCGGCAGTCCCGAGGGCCAGGGCCCGGCGAGCTCGCCCTTCGGCCTCCCGGCACCGGGACGCTGGCCCGGGGGCTGCCGAGCGGGTGGGCGGCTCTACGCAGAGGCGAAGCTCCACGGCTTGCGTCTGTCTTCATCCAGCGAACAAGGTCCAGCTCCTAACCCGGATGGGACTTGGCCCCCGGGCATTGCAAAGATGGTGCCCGGAACTTCGTTTCAGGTCAGCTCTCCGCACGAGCCTTCTTAGTTCCTCCTCTCTGGCTCCCTCTTGCCTTCCCAGGGACCAAGCCTTCAGGGCTGTGTAGCCTTTAATACTTTATGAAGACTTTCCAACAGGCTTCCTTCACCCTGATGCAAACCCCAATTATGACTCCAAAGGATACTAATAATACCAGCAGCAATAATAGTAGCAAATACAGACTGTGCATACATATATATATATATATGCCAGACACCCCTCTAAACACTTCACAAGTACTCATTTTATCCTTAAAACAACCCTCTGAGGTAGGTGATATTATTATTCCCACTTTCCAGATACAGAAACCGAGGTACAGAGAAGGGAAGAAACATGCCCAGGTTCACAGAGCTGGTAATGATGAAGCCAGGATTCAAATCCAGCCAGTCTGACGCCATGCGTCCGTCAGACTTACCCACTGGGCTACTACGGCCAACCCTGATTGAAGTAACTTTTTATGACCTCCCAACCTCCCCAGTGCATAGCTTCTCGAGAATATTCCCAAGGTTCAGGGAAAGTGAGAGCAAGGTCGAGGCGTGAGTAGCCAAGGACCACAGATGACTGGACAGGGCACCAGCTTCACTGGCCGTGGCATTTGCCACACCATGAACTCCTTCCAGAGAAGCAGGACTTCCCACATGTGTGTGCCTCTCTCCTGAGAAAGAGAGGCTTCTGTGATTCGGGATCTGTGGTGACTCAAGAGGCTAATACTGAATGGCCAGTTGCATCTCTCAAACAAGCGTTTCCAACTGAAAGTAAGTCAAGAATGTTTTCCGTTGAGCCCTCTGGTCTCCAATAAATCTCCTGCGTCATGTAACAAGGAAACTGTCCCAAGTCCCTCCCTCTGAGAGACCCAACAGGCAACATTAACTGTTCAAGGCCACTTTCACACTCAGGGAGTAGTCTCTCTGGGGGGAGAAATGCCACCCGAGCCTTTGGAGTACTCGTGACTATAGGAGGGACAGTGGGATCATGGGGTTCAGCGCCCAGGGGTCTCGTCACCCGCAGGGGAAGAGGTCTGCCAGTGAACCTGTCAGGAAGTCTAGAAAAAGGTGCTCTCCGAGAGTGCCCTTCCTGTCTAACCATACTCCCTGGCACCAGACTCACATGCAGGTTGATAGCTCAGCGTATTGAGAACCCTCCCACAGCTGGGTTCGAATCCTGACACGGCCACTCACTTGCCCACTCGTTCCAGTTTACACAGCTAGTTAGTTCCTTGCCCTCTCTGACACTCAGTCTTCTCCATGGGATGACGATACCAACCGGTCAGAGTTTGATAGGTGTTTGGCACTTAATTAGAGTCCATGGTGTTGCATACCTATTAGGTGGCTTATATACGTCAGTTAATTTAATTCCTACAAAAAATGTTACGAAGGAGGCACTATTGCCAAACCCATTTTAGAGACAAGGGAACAGAGGCACATATAGGTTCAGTAACTTGCCCCCAGTCATCCAGGTGGGAGAGGCGGGGACCTAACCTCTGTGCTGGGCTGCCAATTAACTATGCAGGGTTCTGGGGTAAATTCATTCTTACTTGGATAAATCCTAGCTGACCCATATAACACCGTTAATCTTACCTATATTTTCCACTAAGCCACAGATCAAGGAAAGTAGGTCTCTCTAGTAAGATCCGCCCAGCACATTTCAGAACCTTGCCAAGCGAGATTGCAAGGCCGGAGAGGAATGGTTTGCCCCAGTCACTCCCCCCAAGGGGAAGAAAATCACACCATCTGCTGAGAATAGAGCACTGTGTAATTTTTCCCTAACTTGCCATTATCCACGTGTCTGCAAACTTTCCCGAGAGGTGAGTGGGGGCGGGGTGGTCACACAGCTGACTAGCGATGGAGCTGAGTGACAAGAGGTTTTTCACCCCGAATCCACCAGTTGGTCTTCAGGGAGGGTCCATAAGCCTGTGACGTTGTGTGTAAGCCTATGTGTGTATGTGTATGTGTGTGGAGGGGTTTGGTTGGGACAGCCTCCCGGGTTTCAGTGGTTTCTCAAAGAAGTCTGTGACATGAACAGGTAAAGACTTACAAGGAATTATTATCACCAGGGTCTCTTCAGTAATGAGAGATTCCAGGATTCTGGAATTTCAGAACTTCCTTGTGGCCTTCTGACAACAGGGGCTGTATGTCTCCCTCCCCGCTGTGTCCCCAGTACTCAGCACAGTACTGTCCAGAGTAGGCACAGGTTGAACAAATGAATGACTAAATGAATGAATGAATGAGTGGCTACTCTAGCCCACCCCCCAAAACTCAGGACAAGCAGACCTGTGAGGTGCAAAGAGAACACCTCTCAGGTCCGTTCCCCACATGACAGATAAAGAATCACCAGCTGGGCCTTGTTGAGAATTCCCTGTCGGACGCTTAAAATGTCTTTCACCGGAAGCATCTGCTTCTGAGAACCTTTGCTGTTTTCCCTGGAAGCGAATGTCTCAGAGAGCCACTTTCAGTGTTGGAAGTGGCTTTGTTGGTCTGAATTCTGGCTGTCATCTCTGCAATGGGCATCCTGTCATAGGACCATTTCTCAGCTCAGGTCTCCTGAGAGAGGATGATAGCCATGCTGCGTACCAGGTGGAGGCCAGCAGATGACGTATAGTCATCCTGTGCCCAGAGCCTCTTGGTTTTCCAAACCAGACTTCTCCAGATGGTCCCAAATGAATTCATTGCTTCTCCATCACGAGTCACCCAGATGTGCCTGGTTCATATTTGTCATCTCCCCAAGAGGGATCAGGCAGAATAGGATTTTTTTTTTCCCCCTACTGATTTGGTCCCAGAGTCGGCTATGTGTCTGGGGGAAGTTGCTTTTTTTTGAAGTTGGGAATAGGGCCAGCTCCTGGGACCCAGGGTCTGGTACAGTTCCCACGGCCATGAAGACAACTGCCGGGACTCACCCAGTGATGACACGGGGCCATGCGAGCTTTTCAGTATCTGTACCTCAGAATTCATTTCATTCTTGCCACCATGTGGCCGGCACCTTCATTATTCCCCTTTTAGGCAGGAGGTAAGTGATTCATGGAGAAGACAGGAGAGACTGGAACTCATAAGCAGGGGCTAGGTTTCAGACTGGGCGGTCTAGCTGATCACACTGTGTGTGGGGAAGATGCTAGGACTATAGGAGGTCACTTATCCTCCATGGGGTTTCTTAAGTGCAGAGCAGTGAGCTCTACAAGAGAGCTCTGGAAAGAGGAATTTGAGCTTCCTGAATATTATTTTAAGATCAGAGGTCCCTTGTTCTGGGCCATAAAACTCAAGAGGGCAGGGCCTTTGCTCCCCACCCCAGCCCCCGCATGGAACGTCCACCCTCTCCCTGGGGAGAAGATTTGGAGGTCCCCGTGTTCACTGGCTTGCCCCAACAGTGGGCTGCCTACCTCTTTCTGATTCTACCTGTGCTGGTCTCATGATCCCCTTGGGACCTGAGAATCCAACCCGAGCTACAGCCTCAGGCTTCCCTTGCCCTTTATAGCCTCTGGCCCATCAAGAAGGGCAAATGAAGAGAGGATCTTGGGACTCAGCGTTGGCCCAGGGCTGGGACACCAGACCGCAGGCTGTCCTTGTGACATTTTGAGATGTTTTCTGCCCAGCCCGGAAATCTCAACAGACCAAGCTAAAATGCCAAGCCAATCAAGCTGGAGTATGGCCCTCCAGGCTAACTTCATCCAACCCCATTGGAGGTGGCAGGCAAGCTTCTCAGGCAGTGGCAGCTGGAAGCACTAGTGGGTTCCCCACATTTTTCATTTTCATAGTGTTTATCTTGAAGTAGCCAGGATTCTGTTTCTGTCTTCTGATTTGCTGAGCTCATGTCTAAAAAAAGATTACATAACTCACAAACCTAACTGAACTGATTCTGATTAGAAGCAGGGAAAGAAAAGGCGTTTTTTTTTTTTTTTTTTTTCCCCAAGCATGATGGCTAATTGGATCATCTATGTTTAAAGCCAGGTGGGGCAACGGACAGTTTCTAACCAAATTCTCTTGAGACAAAGAGAAAACAAAATCCAGAATGACTGAGCATGGTCCCCCAGCCTGTTGTGAGAAAAGCAGGGCCTCAGGGGTCCATAACTGCTAGATTCCTGACTCCTCGTCCAGTGCTCTTACTCCTGAACTGCTTTTATAAGAGGCCCAAGCAAGCTGTTCCCAATAAAACCACAATCCACTGTCTTAACGGGCCCCGAAGAAACAATTCTATTCTTCATTTCTTTGATTGATGTTTTCAAAGCCCCCAAGTTCCCATCCGGGAGTCTTCCTTGCTCTTAGAGCCCCTGCTGCCACCCAGGCCTGCTAGGCCAGAAGGCTGGCAGCCTTCCTGCTGCCCCCACGTCACTCGCCCCCATCCCCTGACATCCATGTGATGGGCGCCTGGTGAAAGGATCTATTGTTCAGCATCCACTTCTGAATGAGGCCAAAATCACACTCAGTGGCCGAATCGCCTTTGGCTGCCCAGTGCAGACCATGAGTCTTGGGTGACTCAGTCTCTCCCAGAATTGCCCCCGGAGGTGGGTCAGGGTTTAATGAGCAGAGAAAATAGTCATACACTATCATACCCAGAGAATTTCCTCCAGACTCTGTCCTGGGTTGCTTTCAACTAAGCTATTCATCTCTTGGCACTTAGAAAGGAAATGCATCCCAACTTCTTAGTGCCTGGCTGTACCCCCTTACCTTTCAGCCTCTTGTCCATGACCATAGAGCCTGTCATGGCCGCCAACACCAAACCAACAAGGGCCCATTCCATCTGCTCTCTCAGAGGAGAGTCCAAAGGGATTTCTCAGTCACTATCCTGGCCCTTCCATCGAGGCCTCCACAGGACTGACCCAGTGGAGCTCTTGGGTTGTTTTCACGGTCTGAAGAAGACCCCACCCCTGCCTCCTCGTAAGATGATGGGAACAAGGGGAGGGGACATTGTGGAGAAAGCCTGTCTACATTCCCACCCCAATGCTGGATCCAACAGAATCTTTCCAGCAAAGGAGAGTGTGTCCCAGCACTGTCATCTCAGTACACAACTCTGTAAGGTCAAGTGGTTTTTGGTGAGCGAGTCTCCAGGAAGAGAGAGGGAGAGAAACCACAGTGTGTATACCTGTGTGTTGCCATGACGATCAGGAAACACTCAGGTCTGGCCTTGAAACCTTTGTTTTCTTCTTTTTCTGATCATTATCAGTTTTAGCACTAACTAAACACTAACAAAACACTAACTTTGTGTTTTGACTAACACAAAGCCAGGATGTGGTAAAATGAAATGAGAAAGCATCACCGGGGCCCACATGGGGTTTTTCCTGTTGCAAGGAGGGGAAAAAAGGGGTCCCGCTCTGGTAACTAGATTTGCTCTTCCTGGTGTAGTTAACAATTCCGGCTACATCACCTCATTTCTTGTTCAGCTTTTGCTCGGGTCTGCTGCCTGTACTTTGAGGAACTGGCTTTATTGAGTCTGAGGGAAGCACTTCATGAACTCCAAGGTGGACTGAGGTTGTCACACACAGCTGGGAGCTGCATTTCAGGGGGTTAGTGGGCCACTGACACACTGCTGAGCCCGGGGCCCCCACCTGGGAGGAGGAATGGGTTCTAGCCTAAATCCTGTTAATTATAAGCTGCATGACTTTGAGTAACTCATGCTAGCTCCCAGGTTCACACCTCGCCTTCCTACCTCCCAGGACGAAATAAGGACTTAGGGAACACTTGGTGCTTGTGGGATAAAAGGGGGAGGAGTGATATGCACACCAGGGATGTTATTAAAATCTCAGACAGCTTCTCAAAAATCCAGTATCAGTTTAAGACACATTTGGGGTCCAAGCCCTGGGAAAGAGGCAGATGGAAGTGTAAGCCAGCCTCAGTGATCTTGCCACGTGGGTGACTTCCTTCTCCAATTCCACATCCCAAAGCAGCTCTGTGAGGGCCAGCAGGTAGATACCACGGATCCATTTTACAGATGAAGAAACTAAGGAACAAGAGATCGAGAGACTCAAAGTTCTACAGAATTTGAATAACACCCAGACCTCAACTCAGATTGTCAAGCTCTTCTGGTTTCCCCCCATTCTCTGCAGTACTGACTTCCATCTTGTATTGTCAACAAGCAAAGGAGAAAGGTGCATGCTCAGAGAAGAGCGATCGTTTTCAGATGGCCCCCTCCCCCACCACGATGTCTTAGGCAGAGCCATAGTATTTAAGATGGGTAAAAGCAGAGCTGTTCCGGGGGTGGGAGGAGGGGAGCGGGAGTGAAGGCGGAGGGTCAGACCCCAGACCCTGGATCCACCAGCTGCTCATTCTTGCCCAGCCCCCACGCCATCCCATCAATGGCCCTGACGCCCTCCACAACGCTCTGGGAGACTCACTCTGGAATGCTCTGGAAACTACGGCAGTACAGGCCAGTCGTAGCAACGATAACCACTCAGCAAGGCCTGCAATGTGCCAGGGGTTCCAGAGCATTGGGAGCCCTAAGAGGGTTAGTCACTCCTCGTGATAGCTATGGAAACAGAGAGTTGGAGCATTAAGTAATTGGCCCAGGCTCACAGCTCAAAGGCTGCAGTCCAAGTGAAACACAATTGTGTAAAACTGCTTTATAAGTGATACGGGCTTAGTATGACTATTTTTGTTTTCTTCCCCTCTCAGTCTCAAGAATAAATTCACCTCGCAATGTGAAGTTCCATGAAGGCTGTCCCAAGCCCCCTGTAGAGAGGAGACAGCACAGTATGAATTTCCAGTCCTATTCTCCAGGGATGGAATCGGTCAACAGTGTGCTCGGCAAGATTTATAGAGTCAGACACGAAGGTGAAGCTATTGTGCTTCAACATAGAGCCATCCAGATGGGGGGGAACAAGACTGCCAACAAGGATGGGCTTTAACCCAGCCTTACCACGCAGCCCAGTGCCTCTCCAACTTTGATTTTATTTCCTCTGGCCTACCTCTCTGAGCATCTTCGCAAGTGATAAAGGAAAGGTTCTGGAGTTTAGAGAGCTGCAAGTCTGAGTCAGACCTTAGTCCAGGAGCCGTAAGAGATTTTACACATGTGATCCCCAGAGCACCTTCGAGAGGTCAAGTTATCACCCCCATTTTGCTGACGAAATAAGTGAGATCCGGAGCACAACTGACCCAACATCCCACCGTGGAAGTGGCAGGGGCAGGAGTCAAGCCCGGGGATGACACCTGGTCTCTGACATGAGTCACTCTTCTTGGGACACAAAGACGGTCACACTGGGGGGAGCCTGAAATGCAAGCGTGCTGTAGGGTGTGGTTGGGACACAAGTCCCTACAAATCCTCCTGCTGAGCCTCTGGCTGGCCTCCCCAGTAACATTAACGCTAAGTTAGCACCTACTGCGGGCTGGGATCTGTGCAGGGGCTTCACACTGATTGTCTCATTGAATCCCCACAATAAAGGTATGGGATGCATGCTATTATTAGCATCGAACCATCCTGCAGATAAGAAAACTGAGTTTTAGAGGGGTTAAGAGACCCATCCCACGTTTGTACGGGGGGTGGATCCGGCAGCCTGGCCCCTTGTCTCTTAGCCGCCACACTGATTAACTTGAGGAAGTTCCAGGCCAATTTCCGGATAACACCTCTTGCCAGAGAGTTTGCATGCCACTGGGCTAATATTTGCTAGTGTCATGCAGATAGACCTGGTGGACGGGGGCTCTTACTACTGTCTCCTCCAAAGGGGGTAACTCATGGACCCAATGAGCTGGGAAAAATTTCACAGAAAAATCGATCCTGCCCTGGCACTTAGGAAGCCTGTGCGCCAGACAGAGCTGACCACGCCAGGACCACAGGCAGAGGACAGGCTTGATGAACGGACTCGATTTCCGCCTGGCTGCAATAGTAGGTGACTAGCTCTGCTCTTCCCATGACAGTTCACATACCCCTTAGTTTGATGGGCTTTAACCTAACCATTTTAACAACTCTGTCTCCCTCTTCTCTATCGCTGGCTCTGTCTCCGTCTCAAGATGCTAAAACGAGAAGGTGTGTGCATGTTTGTGTGCATGCGCGTGCACACACAGGAGGCAGGCTCTCCTTCCCAGTCCAAGAACCCTACTCCTGTTTATTCTTCACATGCTTTTAAGAGTAACACAAATGTTTCAAAGCAGAAGCCTTATGGGGGGAGAGGCTGGATTGTGGGGATATTTTTTAAAAATCTGGGCCAAACAGATTTCCAGGATCGGTACAATTGCAATTGCTCCATGAGCTAATAGCTTGTAATTCACACCTCTTCCTAGGCTTTCAATCTGTGAAATCTCATCTGTAACAACAGATGCCAGTCTTGAACGCCAGGCTCCAGAGAACTTATTTCTGACAAGCTTTTATTTTATTTATTTATTTTTTAAAGATTTTATTTATGTATTTGAGACAGAGAGAATGAGAGAGAGAGAGAGAGCACATGAGAGGGGGGAGGGTCAGAGGGAGAAGCAGGCTCCCTGCCGAGCAGAGAGCCCGATGCGGGACTCGATCCAGGGACTCCAGGATCATGACCTGAGCTGAAGGCAGTCGCTTAACCAACTGAGCCACCCAGGCGCCCTCTGACAAGCTTTTAAATCTGACTCAAGCCACGGGGTTTGGACCAAAATCTTCACCATTTCATGTTCAGCTGTGGTGGGCCAAAGACAACTTCCTGCTTTTAAGGAACAGGGCCCATACACAGATCCAGGAGCCTTGAAAGTGGAAGAAGTAACAAATGACCCTTCTGTGAAGTTACCAAAGGAAATAAGACTTGATTTTCTTTAAAATAAATGGCCATCAGACATGGCAAGAGACCATACCCAATGAAGGCCGAAGCTCCTTTCACGACGGGTGTTTAAGAAGTGCTCTAGAAACATCAGGGTAAGGACAACTGAGCCTCTTCCTATGAGATGGCGGCCTCCCAAATCACCATTAGTATCCCCAGGGCATGGTGCAAGGTGTGAATTCAAAACACCTTCTAGAAAGTACAAGTGTTATGTACCAGATATGATCCCTGGGAGCTAGGGAGACATACAAGGTCCATGCCATCCAAAGAGCTTACCTTCTAGTGTGGGGAGACAGACAGTATATAGGTAAATGATTAATATATAGATAAGGCAATTTTGGGTACTAATAGTGCCTCATAAAAAATAAAAGGGGGTTCTTAAATAGAGCGTGACGGGGGCTGCTTTGTCAGGCAGTGTGGTCTGGCATTTCTATAAACTTAGGATGCATTTTACTCATTTTTTATGGGGCTTTGGGTGTGATCAGATACCCAGCCAAAGGAAATACTACTTCCCCCTCCCCCCACCAACACACACACAGATAAAATCGGATTTGGAATTCATCTTTGCCTTCTAGGGTCCATAAGAGATGTCCCTAGGATTTGGACTTAGTAAGGTGGACAAGAGAAGCTTGGAAGGCACAGTCTGTGTCAACTGAATGATCTGGTTTCTGAGATGAGAGTTCCATTGGGGTCCTAAGCTGGGGACAGAGCTGGTGGAAGTGGGATGCACCTGTCTCTTCCAGCACTTGGCCTCAACTTCAAGGAGGCAAAGCAAACACAGTGACGGAACAGCCTTCAGAGTGCAACAGTGATGGGTCTGCTCGCAAGCCCTCTGAAGCTTACGAGGACCTCCCAGCCACCCGGCTTCTCCGGCGTCCCTTATTTTATAGTTACTGGTACCTAGCACTGGTGCGACTTACCCTGTGGTACTGGAGGATGGCATAGTGGGTGTGCTCGCAGTCTTTCATCTTAGAAAGACTTGGCTCCAAGTCCCAGCGTGGGCTCTCGTGGGATGTTAGGCTCGCCACGTTTTCTTAACCTTTATTATTTTTATTTTTTTAAAGATTTTATTTATTTATTTGAGAGAGACAGAGACAGAGACAGAGCCAAGCGAGAGCACGAGCGGGGTGGGGGGGAAGGGCAGAGGGAGAGGGAAAGCAGGCTTCCCGCTGAGCAGGGAGCCCGATGCCAATGCCGGTCTTGATCCCAGAACCCCGGATCATGATCTGAGCCAAAGGCAGACGCTCAACCGACTGAGCCACCCAGGTTCCCCACGTTTTCTTAATCTTTAAACCTCAGTTTCTTTGCTGCTAAAGTGAAGGTAATGCCTCCCTCATGAGGTGCTTTTAAGGATTAAATGAGGAAATCACCAAACACTTAGCAACGGAACTGACACCTAGCCGAGTGCCTGGTACTTGGTCAATATTATCCAATCATCATTAAAGTGTATTTAGCGTAACTCAAATATAAAGTGCCTCTTACTCTGACTTCATTCTTGATTAACTAACTGGTCAGCCGCCCACTGTATCCTTGGTGACAACTGCTCGGGACTTCCAGCTAACCAGGAGCCAGGAGCCTAATTATCCAGAGACATGGCTCTTCCTCTACATAATTGTGTGCTGTCCGACAGTCTGTTTGTAAAGCATCATCCTCGGAAGGAGACTGCTCAAGTGAGGCTAAGCCATAATATCAAAGTGGGGTCCATTGGGATGACACCCAATTCATCTTTATATCCCCACTGTCTGATATATAGTGCGGTGTCCCATAAATGTCCCTTTGGTTTTAGTGGGAGAAGCATTAGGCCAAGAGTCCAGTGACCTGGGGTCTAGAACTAGGCTTCTTCCTGATATGCTGTCAGTCCTGGGAGAAGTCACTTTATCTGCCTGGGCCTCAGTTTCTTTATCAGACAAGGAAGAGTTTGGATCTGGTGACCTCTAAGTCCCCAGCCGACCCAGTCCCATCTCTAGAAGAAATCTACACTTCTTTCTAACTTGCTCCCCTGAATTCCCCCAGGAACCTGAGTGGCTCCCTCTTGCCTGTGGGACAGTAGCACTGCATTCTGGAATCCAGGCAGTGGCGGTGTGACCGTGATGCGTCAGGCAGGGTGCATGGCCCGCAGAGACAATAGACAACACAAGAGAGTGTCACCAGCATCCTGCTCTCAGATTACACCAAATAAACGCTTCCAGCGCACAGAGATTAGACCCTACCCTATCAAAGCTGGAGGGAAAGAATGGTTTCAATTAAGAGAAACACAGCAGAATTACTGATTTCCTTAGAGACCCTCCTCCCAAATTACTACAAACAGCCCAAGTGCTCCCTACAGTGAATTTCAGTGTCACGGGCCAATTCAAACCATTCTTCAGTTGTGAGACAATCCTCAAGCAAGGCACTCTCAGCAGCCCCCACCTGCACAAGTGGGAGGCGAGGCGCTCCCCGATCTTTGGTGGTCTTGGAGGTCCCACTGCCCCGGCCAAAAAGGAAGAGAACGAAGTCCCCACCACCTCCTAGAGCTCCCGGTAGTTCTAAATTGTTTCAAGGCCCTTCATTTTCAAGGAGCCAGAAAAATCCAGACTCTTGGGAAAAGGAGATGCTTTGAGTTTTCAAGACCCTGGGGATGGCAGAACAGGATTAACTCCCCATAAAGCTGAGTGGAAGCTCGTGGTATAATGTTGAAAGGGAGAGGGAGCTCTGGATTGAATTCCAGCCCCACCACGTAAGAGCTGAGCCATCTTAGGCAAGTTCCTTCGCTTTTATGAGCCTCAGTTTCTCAGCCTGTAAAATGGCTCTGATGAAAATTCACTCAATCATTTACTTAGTGGATATTTGCTATGTGTATACCTCAAGGAGGAGTCTGTGGGAGTTACATAGTAAATATACATGAAGCAGCAGCATTGGGTTTGGTTCCTAACAGGTGCTTAGTACATGTCAGTCTTTTTCCTTCTCCCACAGGGACATAAATCTTGGACGACTGGCCCCAGCTCTCCCTGACATCGTGGACATCCTTAGGTTCTAACTTATGATGTCCTTACACCATGAAAAACCATTTGTGCTTTGATAATCTTCTGTTTCAGCCCGAACAACAGTCCACAGTCACACTCTCATGAAATTAAAAGCAAACCGAGAATCCAACAAAAATGCAAATGCTCCCATTAAAGGGTGCAAGAGCCTTAGTCACTTCTCAGGTGTGGCTGGGAGTGGCCAGATCTCCTTTCTTTAGAGGATGGCAGAATTAAGCAGTTAAAGGCAATTAAAGGTCTTTTTGGAGATGAGAGAAGCAACCCCTCCCCCAAGTAATTGATGGCCAGACACTCTATGCACTCAGAATTTTCTCTCCATGCATTTGAATTTTCCCCTCATCCACAATGAGGAAATTCCAAGCTTGGGTTTCTGCGGAGGAAGTGGGCTCTGGGAAACTCCCAAATTTCCAGAACGAGAAGGAAGCTACTGCATTAAACTGCCCCTAAGAGCCCTTCCATACTGTGAGGCTGGAGAACAGCACTGCAAGACGCTTCAACCTGAGAGGGAGGAAAATACCACCTCCTCCAACAGCCCCACCACCAGCTCCCTGGACCGAAGGCAGGAAGAGGCTGATCCTGCCGAGACAAGCAGCCTGGGAGGCTGACTGTCATTTTGCGAGGCAAGACCAGACCTGCGGTACATTTCCCCATTCGCTTTCACCAGCTACCGCATTAGCCAAGGTTCCCGGAACATCCCATCCTGCTGGATTGGCTCAGCCACGGCCCGTTCCAGTCAGCACACGAGGGGGTCAGCTCTCTGGTGTGCCCTCCTCAAAGTAAATGTGAGTCCCCTGGCTGATGTTTTGCCCAGAAATGGAATGAAAACCTTCCAAAGGCAGCAGGAAGCATTTCTCAAGCAGGGCAGCAGGAATGAAGTGAGGGCTGTGTGGTGGAGAGGTCCCAGGTCTAATCATAACAATGATCACAAGGATTACTGATGAGCGCTCTCTTCATGCCAGTGCTTCTGTCAAGGGCTTCGCGCAAATGATTGCATTCATCCACACACCACCCGACAAGTAGGTATTGTTACTCCATCGTAAAGATGAGAAGACTGAGGCTTAGAGATGGTATGTAAATTGCTTAAGGCCACATAACTGGTAAGCAGCAGGGCTCCAACCGAGGCCAACCTCTAGCACCCACACTGCTTTCTGAGTGGCAGGACACCAGACTCAACTTCCCCCGGTCATCCCTGACAGCCTGTGCTTGCCTCGGGCCCTGAACCCTGGGAACTGGAGTGGACATCCTCAAAGCCAGCCTTTAGAAGCAGGTCAGAAACCTGGCTTTAAGGGACACTGTTTCCTGTCGGCCTGTTGGAAGTGAAGTCTGTTTCTGAATGTCTTCCAGAAGGAATGGGAAGCTCATTTGGAGAAGAAACCAAATTAGTTTTCCAGTTTTTAACAATGCAAACAATGCAGAATATAAACATGGTTGTTGACTTTTGCTTCCCAAACAATATAAAGGACAGGAAGCTCAAACAGATAATAGGGTACATTTCCTGATGACTGAGAAACAATCCTTTAGGAAGGCTGGGGCTCATCTGGTGACACTTGTTTGAAAGGAGAGAGAGCCTCTCCAGATATGTCCCAGAGGGAGCCACAGGGAGAAGAGCTGAGAGGACCCAAGCCTTGCTTCCCCGGAGCCCTGCCTTATTTTTCCTATGCTTAAACGGAAAGTGTTTCCCCCTCATCTTTCACATCCACCTTGAGGGGCCAGACATCCCACATATTCAGCTTCCCTTTGGTGCCCTTGCAGGAAATCATGGATGAGACTGGATGATGCCAGCCAAGGAGGGGAGGTGGGAATTGGGGGTGTGTGCACCATGAATGAAGATGAAGGAGAGAATGAGAAATGTGGCATGCTTGCTGACCCTCCTTTGCTTTTAAGCGCTTGTCTCCTATTCCAATAGAAAGATTTTTCAATAGATGATAGAGACACAAATAGATAAGTGATAGATATATAAATGGATAGATAGATACACAGGCAGGTAAGTAGACAGATACACAGATAGGTAGGTATAAAGATGATAGATACAGACAGACAGACAGACAGTGTTGTTGTTTTTTAAGTCAAATTTAGAGATTACAGCCTGAATCCATGATGGTAAACCACAATCCCACAAAACCAACCCAACATTGAAGTGGATACAGGCCTTCAGAAAAGAGAATTCCAGCCAACTTCATTCAACAAGGTTTCATTCAGCCCCCATGTGCTGGGCATGCGGACCAGGGCACTGAGCAACGTAGGCAAGGTCACTGTCCCAGTGGAGGTTATGGCCCAGAGGAGAAGACAGACATTAAACAAGTTAACAACATGACACAATAAATGTTGTAACATAAGTACAGGGTGCTGAGTGATTAGTCCAAAGGGAAGCCTTTCTTCTCCAAGACCTTTGCTATCCCCAAGGGATATCTCTCCAAGGAAATGACATTTCAGCTGAGAACTGAAGGTGGATTGGGAACCAGCCAGTGAGTCTCATGCTCAGCAAGCCTCATGGTCAGGAAATTCACCCTCAGAATAAACCATAAATCATTTGGTTTAATAGAATCCATTTGCTCTAGCTCTTTCATCATTAGATACCAAAAACAAGCAGTCCCCTTCCCATGTAAGAAAGGACCATATGCTTGAGGTCCACATTAAACATCCCTTGGGCTTCTCTTCCCTGGATGCAGTCATCATAAATCCTTTAATGATATTGGGTGAAAAAAAAAAAAAAGAATGGAAAACAAACAAACAAACAAAATTCCAAAGTTTCCCTCCCATACCACTAGATTCATGAGCTAGCGGCATGGAGGCAGAGTACTGTCCCAGAAAACCCTCCTGTTCATCTTTGGGCTTATTAAAATGTTAAGATATTAGACCCTTGAACTTCAGACTCAAAGAAACTATTAGGAAGGCATTTTCCTGCTTATGAAAGAGCAATTATTAATATAAAATTCAAGAGTCAATTTCAGACTCCTTGAAAGGAAGTCAGGTCCATTGGAAGCCAACACCATGTGGTGACATGGACATCAGCTCCGGGAGTAGAAAACTAGGGTTCAAATCCCAAATCTGCATTAATTAGCTATCTGACCTTAAGAGAGTCATTAAACTTGTCTCCTATACAGGAGGATAATAATGCTAACCATGAAGTTAATGTGAGGGCTGGGTTATATAATGGAGCTGAAAACACTTCACACACATTAAAACACTCTAGGAGTGTAGTTATAGAAAAGGGAAGCTAGCAGTCTCCCTTGAGGGTGATCATCTCATAATTTACAGGAAGAGATACTCATTCAAGGTCATAGTCATTCTTTTAAAATGGATCACTACAGATTAGTGGTCCTCATGCATGGTGTAGCTCCAGAGGTGCCGAGATGGGTTGCAGTAATGAGTTTCTAATAATAAAGTGCTCAAGTATGCAAACAATTGATTCTTTTTTTTTTTAAGATTTTTTATTTATTTATTTGAGAGAGAGAGAATGAGAGACAGCACAAGAGGGAAGAGGGCAGAGGGAGAAGCAGACCCCCTGCTGAGCAGGGAGCCCGATGTGGGACTCGATCCCGGGACTCCAGGATCATGACCCGAGCCGAAGGCAGTCGCTTAACCAACTGAGCCACCCAGGCACCCGCAACAATTGATTATTTCTTATAAATTATAACAGTTTTAAGGTTATTCCCCCATATGCTTTTTGGGGGAGAGAGAAAAGGATGAAGTTACAGCTATTATGATTGAGTATAAGTCACAGTCATCTAAGTCTCAAAATGCAGTGTGTCCCCCATGTGAACTCCATCCATTAAGTGTGTCTTCTCACGAAAAGGCTGAGGGTGTGGCTTAGGAACACAAGAACTTAGTTTTGCTTTTTTTCTTTACATAGAGTCTCAAACCACAACTGTACCAGGTGGGTGGACACCCTCCGGGGCCTTACTCACTGTAACAGACATTGTTATTAATGCAACAAACTTCTCCTAACTGAATCTTGATTTTGTTCAAAATCCTGAACTTGTGCTTTGGGGGGTGTGAGGCCCCAACTCCCAGCTCCAGTGGGTGAATCATGACTGGTCTAAATCAAGCACTGTGGTCAGAGTTCTCCTAGAATGATTGGCTCTGCATGAGCATTTCATGGAATGTGACCCCATTCTTCCAATGAAAAGTAAAGGGAAGTCAATTAAGGACTTCTGGAAAAGCCATTCCTCCAATTTTCTAGAAGAAAATTGTAAATAAGCATTCCTCCTTCTGCTGCTGGATACTGTTGTTTTTTTCATAGGATGCCTGGAACTCTGGGAGTCAATGTCAGACTACAGAGCAGGCTAACCTGTAGGAAGATGATGAGCATGGCAGAGTGGAAAGTTAGAAGAAAACTGGGTCTTTGATAACATCATTGAGCTCCTAAAATTGTCCTACCTCTAGACTTTTTGTTATGGGATATGGCATTTTATGAGGGTTTCTCTTTCATTGTTCTGTTACTTCCAGAGATATACAGGTGGCATGTGCTGATATGGGTATACCAAGAAACATGTGACAGATAGCTATTACATGGGGGACACATCATCAGGTCATCTCCAAGAAGTTACCGGCAACAAAGCAGATAAATGAGTGAGGTCCTTGTAGCCAGACGTTTGGACATCTGTACCCCAGGGTTCTTGCCTGTTCCTGCTGCCCAGACCCAACAGACACACCTGCATGACTGCTGGAAGTCATCCTGCAAATCGCTCCCTACACACTACACTGATCAAAACTGGAGCCCAAGCTCCAATCAACAAAGTGCTCCCCAAAAAAGACCAAGAAACTTCTAATAAAATCAGTGAGATCTGACCCTAAACCCAGGCTTAACATCCAAGATTCCTAAGTAAATTATGAATTTTTTCCCATGGCTTAAAATAACTCTGACATCAAATGACACTTTTTGTTTCCCAGAATTTGGGTTCCTTTGCTCCCCCAACACATACTTCTAAGAGTCTCGTTCAGTAAAATAAATAAATAAATAAAAGTCTCAGCCAGCTTGGAGGGTCTCATGGCTTCCTTTTCACCACTATTTCAGGGCAGACATGATAAGCCAGCGCTTTCAGAATTTTGAGGAGTAGAACTTTCTTTTCTTGCTGTCTTACTCAGTGAGCCAAGTGTGAGGCAGCCCGAAGAGGGGCAGCCTTGGCTGGAGTTGCTGGTGGGCTTTGAGCCCACCCACCAGACTGCTTCTTGGTCCCGAGCACTGGTGGGGTAGAGAAGTTCAACAACAAGGGCCCCCAAGGAGGTGGGGACATCCTGTAAACACAGTTGCTGCTCTTCATCCCACCGGGCTCCCTTGATGCTCCCGATCAGATGAGGTCTCCCTGTGACAGGCTCTCAAAGACCCTCTGCTTCCTCTCGCAACATACACCCCTGGCATTCCCTAAGGGCATAACCACTTGTTTACTCTCCATCTTCCCAGCTAGATTAGAAGTTCCATGAGAGTAGAAACTGTGTCCCCAGTTCCTGGCAGAACATGAGGCACATGTTACAGTTCAATAAACACGTGTGGTGTGAACGAATGAATCATTTGAAAACCACTGATTATTGACTCAGCTCACAGAACTGCTCAGAGAGGCTGGGCAAAAGCCAGACCGGGTTGCACTGGGCTTTCTGGTTTCCAAACGCTCATTAAGTCAAAAAGGATCGAGATGAACACCAAATATGGATATACAAGGTATGGCACAGGAAACCAGGTCCAAGTACAATAAAGGTGCCAACAGCGTGTAAACACCTACACCATTTCCCATTGTGCCACAAAACGCGGTACCCTTTTAGCTTCCTCTCTTTGTCCGCCCGTTTTCTTGCCAGCCTTGTCTCCTTTAGTGCCTTCCCTCTCTCATCTCAAAGCATGAAATGGAAAGGGTACGGGACCAAGAATCAGAAGACCAGGGTTTTGATTCTAGCTAGTTACGTGACCTGGGGCAAGTCACTTACAGTCTTTGAGACGCCCTTCCTTCATCTGTCCAATAAACAAGTGCTCTACAGAATTTCTAGCATCCTTTTCCATTCTGACATGCCATCGTCTTTGGCTTCAAGTCACCAGCCCATGATAAGTTCTCATTTAGGCTCCTCCCTCCCTTTCTCCTTTCCTCCCTCCTTGGATCCACACTTTGGTGCTACTGTAGGGGCCCAGGCCAGCCGGCACTTTCTAAGCCCTAGCAAAGCCTCTAAAACCCCTCCCACCCCTGCCTCCAGTGCTTTTACTGAGTTACCCTAGCAAGGGCACTGTGATTCAACTTGACAGGGCACCGCAGGCCCCTGCCAGCTCGACTGCATCTGCACACCTCGGGACATGGCAAAACCAGGAAGCCTGAGCACATAGCAGGTCTTCCTAGATAAGCACTGCCCAGCAGGGGATGGGAGCTCAGAAGAGATTGGTGAACATTCCGAAGAATACAATTTCAGTGATTGGGGTCAACCAGCAATGGGAGACAGAGATAAAGGTGAAAGTTACCTCCGGTAATAATAGGACCTTGTGGTTCCACATCACGTGCTTTTGCCTCACAGCACAAAACACTTTCACACCAGCAGGCAAAGGTGGAGAGGTCCAGGGGAGGCAGAGGGATTATTATCCCCAGGTGGCTCACACAGTGTATTGAAGCATTAGACAGATAAAGCCAGTAGCCCAAGGTCACACAATTAGGCTTTGACAGGGTGGGAATTAGAGCACAGTATCCTAATCTCACCTGGGGGCTATTTCTAGTAGACTCCTGGTGGAGCCTTTTGTTTACACCTTGGTTCTATCTTATCTTACCTGCCCAGGTAGTGAGCTGCTTTTTCTCTTGGGCATGAGTAGTGGGAAACTTGAGTGTCCCAGGATGGGCTTACCAGCCTGAGCTCAGAATCCAGCCTACTTGACTTGGATGCTGCAAGCTGGACCCAGAAGGGCCAGTCTGTGGAATGCTGGTGCTCTTTGCACTTGGGAGGCCCTGAAGAGCCCCCAGTGGCAGCTGAGAATGCAGAGGCTCCAGGGCTGATAAAAGTTGTAATTAACGTGCACATACAACCCTTTCATCTTCAAAGGCTTTACTCACATCAGCTAGTTATTCTTCCTATCACCCCCATGGGTGAGGCATCATTTTTGTCTTCTCAGTTTGCAGACGGAGAAGCTGATGTGGAGAAGGGGCCTTCTTCCAAGGAGCCTGGCTCTGGTTCAAACAGAGGAGATTCTGGCTCCCAGCATCTAACTTCACTTGGGGTGAACGGGAAAACAGTGCAAATGAATGCTAGGAGAAGGCTCAAGCCACCGAACTCCTCTGGGTAAGAGACTGAATTTATACGCTTCTGGAAGGAGGTGGAGTCTACAGAATGACTTGCTCACTAGATTTGAGTGGCTAACGTCCCAGTTACAGGCAGCGACCAGAAAGGAAAACCAGAACTGTACTGTACTGTATGGCTGTGCTGCAGTGCTGACTCCTCCAGCCCGTGCCCGTGGCAGACATCACTAATGGATCACGGCACCCTCTGCGGCTGAGCCAAGGCTTGGCTTCTTAGCACAGCCCTCCAGGCAGCCTCTAGCAATCGATGGGAGATGTGTGTAAGCTGAGATCTATTTGCTGGATTTGGGGCTGCAGGGCTTGTTTGGGAGTCTCTTCAATTGCCACTCCCCAACCCAGCCAGAGCTGCCCGAGTTTTATCCCAAGCAGGGCGGGAGCAGGTGCCTGCAGGTGCCCCACTTCTGAACTCTGTCTAGCAGCTCCGAAGAGGGTGTCGTGGGAACTTCTCAGGGGCAGAAGAATCGGATCTTGCCGATGGTGCCACTGACACTT